TGGACATCTAAGTAGTTAACTTCTGTGCGACTTTCTTGGTCTAACTTTAGAGTTAAGCCGTAGGCGTTTTTGTTAAAGGCTTCTAACACTTTCTCTATATCAGGTTTGGTTTTCCAAATAATCAAAATATCATCCACATACCGCATGTAGCTAAGGATATTGGATTGAAAGCTTAGTAAGACCTTTTCTTCTAATTTTCGTACGACGAGTTCGCATAGATCCCCAGAGACTGGGCTACCCATTGGTACGCCTCTTTTTTGGATGTACGTTTGACCATCAAAGTAAAAAAAGGAGGAATAGCAGATTAGATGTGTAAGCTCTAGTATTTGTGAATGGAATCTCTGGCTGTCAGTTGTTGTAGTGAGAAAGAAATCCCTTAGCTCACAAAAACATGGTTCCAATCGAATGGAAGGGAACATCGATACAAAATCGAATACAGTAAGATATTCGTTCCCATTTAACTTTAACTTGTGGAGTTTGGCGAGTAGTGCGTTGGAATCGGACACAGTCAAGCCGTATGAGTTAAGATGATTTTGCAATAAGTGATGTATACGTTTCTCCAATATGAAAGTGGGAGATCTGGCTTTATCGATCACAGGTCTTAATTTATGCCCGGGTTTGTGTGTTTTGGCAAAAGCGAAAAGGCGGGGGGTGTCAGGGGAGCTAACTACCGCATTTTGAAGGCCTAAGATTGTGGCAAGGCCAGTGCGCGTGTTTTTTCTGTAGTTCTCATCCAGTTTGTATGTATATCATTTAATAGGAAAAGATAATTTCAGAATACTTACTTAATATTTGTGTCATAGTATCCTTGAAGAAGAGCAATAATCAATTTCTGAAGTGAAATACAATCATCATTTTCTACTGAGAGAAAAGATCTTTCCAAATCCTAAAAATATTTTTAAATAAATCAATTTATTAATATGTTTCAAATTTTATTTTAAATGTTAAGATTATGAAGAGTAATACTAAAGTTAAAAATAGTTAATATTCACAAACCTATCTCGGATGAAATTTATAATATAAAGTAAAATCTCACTTTGTGGCCACTTGATATTTCCCTATAAAACTGCATAAATTAATATAAATCAAACTCCATCTTGGAGGCCAACTTACCAAGAAAGATCCTAAAGTGACATTTATGCCCATTTGCATGGACAATATAACATGAAAATTTATGCTCCCAAACTCAACATTGTTTAAAATGTTTTAAAAAGAATTGATCTTCCTTGCTATAGTCTTGGAACAGTTGGCTGAGATCCCTCCAACAAATGATATTCAAAAGAAATAAATCTTTANATTATTATTTTTATTTGTAATAGGATTTTATTATTTATACCACAGAATGACACCACTGCTGCTAGAACGTCCACTAGGGGGCATCCCAGGCTACTAGAAGGATTGGAAGTACAAAATAATCTAATAATCTTAATCTTTGTTGTTGTTTTTTGCCTGGGCAATGCCGGGCTCATCTGCTGGTTCTGTATACTTGTTTTTCTTCCATAATGTCTGTACCAATTTCATTTCAAACTGTCCATTGTATTTAGTTTTGATAATGCACTTCAGTGTTGTCACCTGTCTTTCTCATAAAAACTGTAATACTTCTGATACTGCAACAATTAAAATGTTTGTTTATTACATATGAATTCAGTCATTTTGACCCAAACATTTATTTGGTAATTTTATTAAGTTGACATCATGTCATAATTTGCCAAATTTTTGGTGATCCATGCATTATTTTTTTTATCACTTCATTTCTCATATAAAAAACATTCTTGTTTAAACAATCAGTCACAAATTTTGATATTTTCTGCAATAATTCAAGTGATATGTATTTCTGAAGTTAGGTATCTGATTTTTGAAACTTCACAATTATGCTGCAAAAAAATTAAAAATAAAACTATAGAATCAACTCCTAACTCCTAATAACATGAGTTGTCAAATGTTAAAGATAACATTTCCAAGTATACTAAAACAATTACTTTGTCATTTAACCAACTTCTGAGAAGGGTATTTTTGTTTACAGAGCAATAAAACAAATTAGCAGTTTATTGACCTTGACAGCAGGGAAGGTTTGACCAGAGTAAGTATAGAGTACTCAAACTCCACAATTTCTAGTTGATAAGTTACCAATGCACATGACTGTATTGGCTATTTTGTAACATATCAAAACAAAAAATAGCTGGAGTTTATTCTACAGTTAATTGTCTCAAATCAATCAGTTTTCTTTTTTGACATGTAGTAGTAATTATTTTTTGCCTTGTAATTATTTCTTATAATATTTTGAATAAATTACTGATAACTTAGTGGCAAAATTATCAAAATGGCAAAGAGTTACAGAAGATATTGTTAGCTGTCAATTACCATAATTGTAAAGAAAACAATTCAGATAAAGTATTTCAATTTTACTCATGATGCAGAAAAATAATTCTATTTATTTTTATCATTGCTATATTAAGTTAATAATACATTAACAACTTAGAATATTAATTAAACTATATCAAAAATGTGTATAATAAACACAGCTATATAAAAAGATTTTTAAAACAAAATTGAATTTTTTATTTATAAATAAGAGACTTAGAGTAGCAATTTGATTAGCCTACTAGAAATGAAATTTATATTAACATTTGTATTCAGAATCAAATAAATCTTTGTATTTTATACTATTTTATTACTATATTATTTACAATATATTTCTGATAATGAAGATGTCTACAATTCTGCATTCTTTTTACACAAAAATTAATTTATACTTCAGTAAAGTATTATAATTTCAGTAACAGGCTATTCTGATTTTTAAATTTTGAATTGCAAAGAATAAGTGTTTTATAAAAGTTTTTAAATTGATATCTTGCACAAATATTTTTTAAATAGTATATGTAATAAATGAATTATAAACATAAAAAGAGAAAATTTACTGGAACATTAATGCATTTATCTGTCAAAAAATATGGCAAAGTTTGGACATGTTCATAAAGGAAAAGTAAGTTCCATAATAGGCACACACAGACATATAAAACATGTGATGCCAGGTATGCCTAAAGATTTTCTTTTAAAATATATCATTACATTCAGAAATTACTATTTCTTGAAGTTTTTAATAACATGAAAACAAAAAGAAAATAAATATAAACTTTTTTAATGTAAATAATAAAATGAATCATTATAAATTGTTTATAATGAAATTTTTGTATAAATAAAATGTGTGTATATATTTATAACAATGGAATTTAAATAAATTACAAAATTTTTGATAGTATTCAATAGTAAGAAATAAAAGTATTTTATATGTTAAATTGAATTGTTTATTTACAGTGTCTAAAAATATTTAGAACATGGAATTGTAAATATTTATTAGAAAAACATACATAAAATGTAAGCATGATATGCATACTATTGTATACATGTAATAGTTTAACCTTTTTGATAAAAACATTGTGAAAAAAGTTTAATAACTTTTATATAAATACTAGCTGCAAGGTCCCGCTTCGCTGGGTTTTTATTTGTATGTAATATAGGTTTTATATATATATATAAAAGACTGTTTTTCTAAGTTATCTAGAATCTAGCTGCGAGGATCCGCTTCACTGGGCAAAAAGTAACGATAGTGAAGATTAAGATAATTACATTATAGCCAACCTTACCCGTTTTCACAGAATGCAAGAATTAGGTCCCCCGTTTCCAGACTAATTAGAGAATTTTTACGTCCAGTCAAACGAACTATTTTCAATTTGATCAATTTTCTGGAACGTTTACAATCGTTCTATAATCGAACCAATT